ATGGCAAAGCAGGGAGCCTAGCCCGCGCTGGCTCCCTCATCCTTCTTCTCGGTCTAAGGGCCTTGCGGCCTAGCTCAGCTGACAGGGGGCAGGCGCCCCCACACTTTCTCCTTCCTCACAGCCCAAGCACAAAGGCCCAGACTGCAGCACCAACCCACAGCAACAGTGCCGCAGCCTCCCTAGGTCCTTTGTCAAATCTCCTCGATCTTTATCAAGACAATTTCAAGCCCCGAGGTATAAAAAAAAATCAGGAAAAGTAATTTTTTTCTTACCTAGAAGCAACGAGAGGACGAAGCAAGCAACGAAAGACGATCCTTTGCACGGGCAAGATGTAGAAGATGGCTAGAGGAAGGGGAATAAATATCCTCTAAGCTTTCTCTCGCTTGTAGGGTGAAATAAGTTTCTCTCAAAAAGTTGATTTAATAATCCACTTAAGGTGGACTTAAATAAACTTTGAGAGGGATTTATTTTCTTTTCTTAGAAGGATCTAATTTTCTATTAAAAGAGAGAATCATCACCAAAATAAGAAGCAATTCAAAGTTTCCTAAAGCAAGAAAATCTCTACACCTGTTGCCCTTTTCTGTGAGCAGCCCAACAGGTGTAGGGGCATTTGTGGAGCCAAAAATATTCATTAGGTGACACGTGGATTTTTGGACGAAAGAGGACAAAAATACCCTTGAGGCATAACGGGATTCCTACTGCGAGCAGCGGGCTTTCATCCCTCAACGAAGTAAAAAAAGGTCCGAAAAAGGTAACAATTCAAAAATTCATCTCATCAAATCCTTCTACAAGGTAATTCCTAAAATTTATTTCACCCCATATATCTTTTACCTAATTTCCTTTTTTTAGCTAAATCAATTAGCTAATTATTACATGACCTAATTATCTATTTATTCTAAATATTCTATAACCACCAAAACATTCCCCTTATGTTTAATTAGCCAGTTAATTGGCTAATTAAACCAAAATTAAACCCAAAAACCCTGCCTAATGGTCGGCCACTCCTTCTCCAAAGAGGACCGGCCTATCCCTATAAATAGTCTCTCATTTTCACCAAAAGATCATTCTAACACACTTGCAAAATTCCCAATAATCTCTAAACACTTTTCTCTCTAAATTCTAACTTTGGCATCGGAGGTTCTTCGGCCAAAGCCCCCCCATTCATCGTGGGCTCGTGAAGCTCTTGGCCTTGACCCTAAGGTGTTAATTGTTTTGTAGGTGCAATTTTTTCCAAGATTAAGGAGGAAGAAATTTGCATCCACATAGGGTCTCTGCAGGGTGGCGTTAGGTGTGAAGGAGATGATGAATGTCTAGGTCTTAGGTCTTTCATTTTTTTTCTATTTTATTTATTTATAATATTATTTAAAGATATATTAGAGTTATTTAAAAATATATTATGGTTATTGTGGGAATAATGGTGGGTGGGGGAGGGGGGAATAACGTTTTACTTTTTTAATTTTCTATGGTGGGTGAGATTATCATGTGCGTGAGAAAATAAGATACTGAGATGGGTCTAGTAGCACTCAAAAATAAAATAAAGGTATCTAATCAATCCTCCCAATCTTCAAAATCAGACTAATTACCAGTAATATAATAAAGAGAAACTCACACACGCATTGACTCATCACGAAGCAAACCGTAATCTTGGGACAAATCCATGCAAAATCCCCTACTCGTTAATTAATCATTTGATAAGTCAACTTGAAAATTTATATAGGATTAGAATTCCTATCCTTCCATATCTCCGCGTCTTGATTCTCCTACTCTTTCACTTTCCTCTTTTTCTTTATTTCTACAAAAAAGTAAACACCTTCAAATAAGAAGGGACCGAAGCAGAAGGAGATTTGAAGGAGAGAGAATCTTGCTATATTTATATGTTGGTGGAAGAATCACTGAGAATCCAAGAAAAAGGAAACAAACGTCAATCTAGGCAACAAATTATCATACAATTGGATATCAAATTCATGGTTGTCGTAAGAGCAAATCCCAGATTTCCTCTTTGAATCACATAATTTAGGCTCCTCTCTACCTATAAATACACACCATAATCCCAATGTCTTCCTCACATACTAATCTTTTCTAGCCATGGCAGCTTATCATTCTCTCGCCTTCGTTTCATTGTCAACAACTACATTGCTTTTTATTCTTTGGGCCTCTAGTTTCTCTTTGGTCTCAGCTCTCAATGGTGGCTTCAGTGTGGACCTCATTCACCGTGACTCACCAAAATCTCCCTTCTACAACCCTTCACTAACCCCAGCTGAGCGTCTGCGCCACGCCTTTCGGCGTTCCATTAACCGAATCAATCACTTCAACCCAACAGCTTCTTCACTCTCTCAGCAGGCTGGTCCTAACCAACCTGAGGCCACTATCATCAGCGATAATGGTGAGTACCTCTTGGAGTTATCTATCGGAACACCGCCCTTTCCAATCAAAGGAATTGCTGACACAGGTAGTGATCTAATTTGGACCCAATGCAACCCTTGCGTAAGTTGTTACAAACAAAAAGATCCTCTTTTTGAACCCGAAAAATCCTCAACCTACAAAGCCCTTTCTTGCTCTTCAAGCCAATGTAATTCTCTAAATGGTACTTGCTCAAGTGAGAGTTCTAGCAACTGCCAGTACGAAGTCACCTATGGAGACCAATCATACAGCTATGGAGATTTTGCCAGAGAAACCCTAACCCTAGAATCCACCACTGGCAGAAATATATCATTCCCCAAAACCCTAATTGGATGTGGGTTTGACAATAAATTTACCGCTGGTAGAGGTAGCGCATCCGGCATAGTAGGCCTTGGAGGTGGCTCAGAGTCCCTAATTACCCAATTGGGTTCTTCTATTGGTGGAAAATTCTCCCATTGCTTGGTCCCATTGGGTTCCGAAACCACAAGCAAGTTGAATTTTGGTAGCAACGCTGTCGTTACAGGCGCTGGAGTTGTGTCCACTCCTATAGTCCAGGGCCAAGATCCTAAAACCTTCTACTTCTTGACCTTGGAAGGTATAAGTGTTGGTAACACAAGAATTCCTTCTAATTCATCAGCTTTCTCCTCAGGTGAAGGCAACATTATTATCGATTCTGGCACCACATTGACCTTACTTCCACCATCGGTGTACTCGGATTTGGAAGCAGAGGTTGATAAAGCTGTTGGTAGTTTGGAACGTGTGCGACTCCCCGGCGTTCCTTTGAATCTTTGCTACAAGATTAGTGAATCCAGTTCTGATGATTTCAATCCACCAACCATCACCGTGCATTTCAGCGGTGGCGATTTGAAGTTGCCTCCGACTAACACCTTTATTAGGGTCAGTGAGGAGGCTGTGTGCTTTGCTTTCAGTGCTTCGCCAGGTGTTTCAATCTTTGGGAACCTATCACAGATGAACTTCTTGGTCGGATATGATACTAAGGAGGGGACTGTTTCCTTCAAGCCAACTGACTGCACCAAGCAGCAGTAATAGTCCCTATTGCTTGTAATCTGTGTTTATATTTGGTGATTTTCTATTTAATGTACTTTTAGGCTTCTCATTGTTGTTGCTTTGTGATAAATAATTAATCGAATAATAATTTGTTTTTTTATATTCTTCTACTTTCCATTTTTAATTCTCTTTGCTAGCTCACCATTTTCATTTAAATTCAAAAGTTGAAGATTAGCTAACTGCAGTTTCACTTGAACTATTTTATTTTCCAGTTAATGATAAAGATTTATTTGATTAGAGACGTTTCTAGGGTTTCTAATTAACTAAATAAATCTTCAACATTTGCAATAGTATTTAAAAATCTTGCCTACAAGAAACTTATGCAGTTGCACTTTTTACGAAAGCATTGACTTTTACCATTACCCATTAATCCGATCATTCGTTTTTTATTATTTTTTATTGTTTTTTTATAATTTATTTTTATATTTGGTCTCAGTATTGAACTCAATCACCAAAATCTCCCTTCTACAACCTTGATCTCTAACTCGGTCACAACGGTTGACCAATGCTCTTCGTAGTTCCTTCCGTTGGTTTGAACCAAACGTTTCAACCCGACAGCCACAAGTACTCTCCGTAGTTCCTTTGGTTGTATTTCTTAGCTGCTTCTCGTGCTTGTGATGCCACAGATCCATCAATATAATGGCTATATTAAATTAGCTAAGTTGACCATGTTTTAGTACGAGAATCCAATAAAATTTAATACATAATGTCCTTTATTAAGTTTATATTTTTCTTTAACATTCTAATAACACTGCTATCGTTTTACTTAAAACATTTCGACAAAAAAAAAACCTTTTCAAAAGCGCAATTAATTTAGAACATATATATATTGAGCTGCCATTGAGACAGACCAACCAAGAAAATAGAAGGTTTGCTGGATCTTATCTTTTGTGCAAAGAAGGTTTCCTGGAATTTTGTGCCACCAAATAGAAAAGGACACCAGCACGTATGTCATTTGCACGTACGTTTAAAACTCAAACGTGATGCGTTTATCGTGTTTTAAGTTTGTTGCGTTTATCTTGTTTTAGTAACAGATTTGTATTGATGACGTTTTGTAGGAGTATAACAGTGTTTGTGGTAGCCGTATAAGGATTTACTATAATTTGTTTCATTGTGCAAATTTACTCTAGATCAATTTCTTGATCACTAGAGCTTATGTACCTAATTAACAACCTCTAATTATTTGTGAAATTCAAAGAAATACCACCCCATAATTTCTGGTAGAAACAACTCAAACCGAGGAATTAGACATAAGTGGAAACAAACTATAAATCCAAATAATAATACCCACAAAGCATTAAATATAGTCAAACCATTCCACTTTCTAGAAACAGTTTTGACTCTCTCAGGTCTAACCATGATTTAATTAATAACCAAATCCTACCAGATGTGCTCTGATATTTTTATTCTTTTGAGACTCTCATTTAGAAAAGAATCCGTTATATGGGATTCTGGTTCCGCCACTAATTATATATAATACCATCGCAGAGACTGTTTTGTTATATGTTCAAAGTGTTGTCTTCATCTTACTCATGGGAGCTATTCACTCACTTTTCACCATTGCATTTGCCATTATTTTCCTCCCATTTCTCTCGCTCACAGAAGATGATGACCATCACCACGGAATCGGCTTTAGCCTCGAACTGATCCACCGCGATTCACCATCATCTCCATTGTACAATCCGGCGGAGTCTCATTGGCAACGCGTAAGCAACGCCTTGCAACGCTCGCATCACCGTGTGACCAACGATTTTGGCAGAAAAGGTTCAGGACTACGCGCTTCGAGTCCTATAGCGGAAGCCCGTTTAATCTATGTTGCGGGAGAGTATTTGGTGAACATATCGATTGGGATACCGCCCAAAACTTTGATCGGCATTGTGGACACCGGCAGCGATCTTACGTGGACGCAATGCAAGCCGTGTAAGGACTGTTTCAAGCAAAAAATCCCCATCTTTGATCCCAATTCTTCTTCAACATATGAGCCCCTTTCTTGTTTGTCCAAACAGTGCCATTTGCTAATTGAAGGAACTTGCTCAAACGATAAATTTTGCTATTACAATTATACGTATGGGGACAATTCCTACACCTCTGGAAATCTGTCCGTGGACACTGTTACATTGGCTTCCAGAACCGCAGGCAAGGCCGCCGTATCAATCCCCAACACCATATTTGGATGTGGACACGACAACGGAGGAATCTTCAGCGGGACTGAGACAGGCATAGTCGGACTTGGAAGCGGAGCTGTGTCGCTTATATCCCAAATCGGAAATGTGGTTGGTAGGAAATCTTTCTCTTACTGCTTGGTGCCGAGTTACGAACTACAATTTCATTCAAATTTGCACTCTAAGCAAAGTAGTCAAAGTGAAATCCCAAGCAAGATGTACTTTGGTGGTAAAGTTTCAGGCCGTGATGTGGTCTCAACTCCTTTCCTGTCGAACGGTTCGCAAACCTATTACTACCTTGAGCTACAAGGCATCAGCGTCGGAGACGACTATCTAAAGCTTCAAGTTTCCAGTCGTCAAAGTTTTAAGGGCAACATGATCATAGACTCCGGGACTACTATAACAACTTTGCCTACAAAGCTTTATCAAAGTTTCGAAACGGCAATTAGAAAGGCAATTCATCTGGAGGTGACGAAAGATCCAACCGGCATTCTACGGCTCTGCTACAAGACTAAACCGGAAATCGACGCTCCCATTGTTACCGTCCATTTCCGTGGTGCAGACGTGAAGTTAAAGTCCGTCAACACTTTCGTTAGGGTTAGGGAAGATGTTGTGTGTCTTGCATTTTCCCCGACCAACGATGTGGGGATCTATGGGAATGTGGCACAAATGAACTTCTTGGTAGGATTTGACCTCCAAGAAAGGACGTTGTCCTTCAAGGCAACCAATTGCGGTACGGGGTAAAAAATTGCCATGGATTTTGTTTTCCATATTTATTTGCCATGGTACCGGATGCCAAAGAATAATAATAACAGTGATCATATATAATGGAATTTTTGTAGCATTGTTCTAATTTACAAGAGAATTGATGAAAATAAATAGTAGAAAAATTGAAGATTCACAATTTTTGTTCTCAATGGATTTGTAAAACCGATCGATATTACTTAGAAATTTTCACAACCCGTCACATCAAATTCCGAAAACAGCTGCCGATACCAACATTACAAAAGCCTGTAGATGGCTCGTTAGTCATCTGTGTTTTTTCGAGATGGCTCGTTAGTCATCTAAAAGAGCGAGATGAGCTTGGAGTTCACAAATTATAACCTTACAGCACTGGGCAGTGAGTCCAGCCTCTCCAGTCTTCCCTGCAACAGAGGTTCTCGAATATGCTAGAGTGGTCATCCAACCTGCTTCAACTCTCTGATCTCACCGGACTGAATCTGTCTCCATTCCTGGAATCTGTGGGAAAGCCATTCATACTGTTTATGACACAAAAGGAGAGCATAAAAAAGAAACTGAAATTGCAGAAAGCGAATATTGTTCTAGGAAAATCATGTAAACCCTGCAACCAACTTTATTTGAACCCATGTCATCTCACTCTACAGTCTACACCCAACTTAAACCATAAATGTGAATCGTCTTTTCAGTCCTATTGTATAATTACCGTTAAAGACAGGATTTTATTAAAACTAAAACCAAATTTATGTATAAACCCACATCCAATAATCAAACCCTCCACTTCGTGCCTCCATTCCTGGAGAGCAATGGGCTCGTCAAACCCTTGAAAAAGTTTCTTTCAGAAGCACAAATAGAGAATGGGGGATTGAAGAACTCTTTACTGGATTTAGAAGAAATGTGCTGCAAGTATTTTGAGATGTGTAGTGCAGGTACAAATGTCCACCGTGAAGAAAGTATTTAATGCCTTAGAATAGCTGTAATGACTGACAACTATTACAAGGAGGCAAAGAATTCCAAGAAAGCTTCTAGTGCAATTGAAGAAATTTTAAAGATAACAGAATTAAACATTTAGTTACTTGTTTCTGTAAAGTTCTTGTGAATGACAATGAGTGTTAGTTAATATTACTTGAATAACAGTTAGCTTGGTTTTCAAGTTAACTGTGACGCAGATAGTATAGTTGGTCTCAACTTCGTAAGGGTTATGGAGTCTTATTTCATGCAGCTAACTTAAAGCAATTCTGATAAGGATTGAATGCAAAGATGTTTAATCATGATAGGACTCATTCATTATTAAGGCGATAAGGATACACAACTGTTAATAGGCTGGTTGTGTAACCCTAGTGATATATATATATATATATATATATATATGAAGTTATAGTCCCTGCTCCCATACGTGAAAAACCCTAGAGATACCGAAACCTATTCATACAGTAAGGGAGCTATTGAGTAGTGGGAGTAGAAGACTGACTTGCGTTGCAATTATGGCATCAAACACAAGTAGGTGTTTTTGTAATTAGTTTCTGATATGCTTTATATTCTGCATGATGTAATTGTATTGTAACCCTAGTGCCCAGTTGTTGTGGTGTAGTTTACAAGTTTTATCCAACTATGCAAAATTAATATGAACAACATCTGTCTAAAGATGTTGCTGTGTTCATATGCTTGTTGAGGGAAAACATTATGTGAAAGTTTTCCTCATTAACTGTTAAGGTGCAGATTGAATATACTGGCATCAAGGAAATTTTGTATTTTGTAGCTCCACATATGACCTCCCTTAACTTCAACAACATTGAAACCCTTACTGGTTCCAACTTCAAGAAGTGGAAAGAGGATGTACAGATAGTTTTGGGACTAATGGACCTTGACTTGGCATTGAGAAAAGACAAACCTGCAACCTTAACAGATGAGAGCATGCCTGATCAGAAATCAAAATTTGAAAAATGGGAAAGAGCCAACAGAATGTCCCTAATGATTATGACAAAAGCCATGGCACAACCTGTCAAGGGAGGGATTCCAAAGCTTGACAATGCCAAGGAATTCTTAGCTGTTGTTGGAGAAAAATTCAAAGAATCAGAAAAGGCAGAGACAAGCACATTCCTCACTCAGCTTACCTCCATGAAGTTTGATGGCACATGGAGTGTGAGGGAGCACATTCTCAGGATGGTCGATCTCTCTCTGAAGCTGAAAGACTTAGAGCTACCTATGACTGATCAATTCTTGGTTCATATGGCTTTAAACTCATTACCTGCTAAGTATGGTCAGCTGAAGGTCTCATACAACACACAGAAAGACAAATGAGGTATAAATGAACTGATCTTAATGTGTGTGCAAGAGGAGGAACGACTTAAGGTTGACAAAACTGGTGAAGTGAACCTGGTGCAAATGGAGAAAGGGTCCAAGTCATTCAATGTTGGTTCAACTTTTACTGCTGGTAAGAAGAAGAATAATGTAATTTCTTCTTCTTTTAAAAATGCTAACACTTCTAAAGGATCTGTCAAACTCAAACTAGTGAACACTGAGATAGAAAAGGAAAAGGAATGCTATTTTTGTAAAGAAACAGGTCATTTAAGAAGGAATTGCGTCGGTTTCAAAAATTGGCTTACAAAGAAAGGTAAAATAATAAATGTTTTTGTCTGTGTAGAGTCTAATTTAATTTTTATTCCTCCTCAAAGTTGGTGGTTTGACACTGGATGTTCAATTCACATAACTAATTCTTTGCAGGGCTTCTAAAAAACAAAGGAAGTAAACAATGAAGTCTACAATGTTTATGTTGGGAATGGGAGCAAGGTTGCTGTCGAGTCCATTGGTAGTGTCAAATTAGTTATGTCATCTGGTTTTATTTTGGAATTATGTCCAGTGCTTTATGTACCTTCAATGAGAAGGAGTCTAATTTCTGTGTCCAAATTAGTTAAGTTAGGTATTTCTTTTGTTGCGGACAATGAAAGTGTAAGGTTTTTCGAATAAAATAATATGAATTCCTTGCTTGGTGTTGCTCATTTACAAACTGATATGTGGCAAATGGAATGTTCATATGTGCATGAGTGTTTTAATGTTCAAAGTGTTGGTTCTAAAAGGCTGCTCACTTCTGAAAAATCCTCTATGCTTTGGCACAAGAGGTTGGGGCACATTTCAAAGGAAAGAATCATCACTTTGAGCAAACAAAACTTGTTGCCCCAATTAAATTTTGACGATTTCAAAATCTGCACAGATTGTTTTAAAGGGAAACTTACTAACACAAGGAAAATGGGTTCAACACGCAGTCAACACTTGAAATCATTCACACTGACATTTGTGGACCTTTTCCAAACAAAACTATATGTGGAAAGACATATTTCATCACTTTCATTGATGACTTTTCACGCTTTGCTTTTGTTTATTTGATTTCTGAAAAATCTGAAGCGTTGGATTGTTTTAAAATCTTTAAGTTAGAGGTTGAAAAACAATTGGAAAAACACATTAAAATAGTAAGATCCGATAGAGGTGGTGAGTATTTTGGCAGGTACACTGAAACTGGACAGCACAAAGGACCCTTTGCTACATACCTTCAAGACAATGGCATAGTTGCTCAATACACAACCCCAGGGACTCCACAACAGAATGGGGTGGCCGATAGGAGGAATATGACCCTAAAAGACATGATTCGGTCAATGTTTGCACAATCAAGATTACCTATGTTTATGTGGGGGGAAGCCTTGAAAACTGCTAACTACATAATCAATAGAGTGCCGAGTAAGTCAGTAACAATAGTGCCTTTTAAAGCTTGGACTGGAAGAAAACCAAGCTTCAATCATTTTCACATATGGGGTTGCAAAGCTGAGGCACGTTTTTATAATCCAAATGAGAAGAAGCTTGATTCAAGAACAACAAGTTGCAGGTTTATTGGTTACTCGGAAAAATCGAAAGGGTTTAAATTTTACCTTCCTCATGGTCAGTCTCGAATAATGGAAACTCACAATGCAAAGTTTATAGAAGAATCTAAGGAGTTGAGTTCATCTGCCACTAATTCACAGCCTTTTGAGTTCGAAGAAATGAGCAACGATAATAGTTCTTTACATGATCAGCCAGAAGCCATAATGCAAATCCCAACAGTGACATTTCTCCCAACCGTGATAGCTCCACTTGAAATGAATACTGAAGCACCGACTGCGACTACATTCGCTCAAGAACCAGCTTTAAATGATGTCACTGAAAATAGTGCCATCAATGAAGAAATAGATGTGCAATCACATGACATTCCCATTGAAGAAAATGAAGTGCCAACTGAAGTACTGGCTGCTGGAAATGTCAGAAAGTCCCAAAGAACTAGGAAAATTAATGTGTTTCCAGATTTTGTATATTTAAATGAAGCAGAATTCAGCCTAGGAGATGAAGATGACCCTGCAACATACCACCAAGCCATCACAAGTATGAGAGCATCCCTATGGCACCAAGCAATGGAGGAAGAGATTGATTCAATGCTGAAAAACAAAGTTTGGAGTATTGTGCCAAAACCTGCAGGTGTTACAAAAACAGTAGGTTGCAAGTGGGTCTTCAAGACCAAAAGAAACTCACAAGGCAACATTGACAAACATAAGGCAAGGTTGGTGGCCAACGGTTTCACTCAAAGGGAAGGAATTGATTACAATGAAACGTTCTCTCCCGTGTCTACAAAAGATTCAATGCGAGTGATTCTAGCGCTAACTGATCATTTTGACCTAGAACTGCATCAAATGGATGTCAAGACCGCTTTTCTCAATGGCGATCTTGAGGAAGACATTTATATGCATCAGCCACCAGGATTTGTTGAAAGGGGGAAGGAATCTATGATTTGCAAATTAAATAAATCCATCTATGGATTGAAACAAGCCTCTCGACAATGGAACAAAAAGTTTGATCATTTCATGTCATCATTTGGCTTTCGGGAAAATAAGATGGATGAATGCGTGTAACTCAAGATAAGTGGTTCCAAAGTTGTATTCCTAGTTTTATACGTTGATTATATTTTAATTGCTAGCTCAGATTTAACTCTTCTGCAATCAACCAAAGAGATGCTAGCCAACAATTTTGATATGAAGGACCTGGGAGAAGCCAAGTTCATTATGGGAATTGAGATTATTAGAGACAGAAGCAAGAAAGCTCTTGGACTTTCTCATAGACTGTATGTTGACAAAATAACCAAGAGGTTTAACATGGAAAATTGCTCCAGCGGTGAATTACCAATTGGGAAGGGTGATAAGTTCAGTAATGATCTGGAAAAGGATAGCATGAAGACCAAACCTTATGCATCACTTGTGGGCAGTTTGATGTATGCTCAAGTATGCACGAGGCCGGATTTAGCATTTACAGTAAGTGTACCGGGAAGATTTCAGTCAAATCCTAGGGCAACTCATTGGACTGCAGCCAAGAAAGTGCTGCGATATCTCAAAAGAACCAGGGATTTCATGCTTGTTTATGGTCAAATCGATGAATTAGAATTGGTAGCTTACACTGATTCAGATTTGGCATGATGTATCGATGATAGGAAATCTACTAATGGTTATTTATTCCTACTTGCTGGTGGTGCGATATCGTGGAAAAGTGCCAAGCAAAAGTTGATAGCATCGTCAACTATGGAAGCTGAATTCATTGGCTACTACACGGCAACCAAACAGGCAATATGGCTGAGGAATATGATAAAAGGATTGGAAATTGTGGACAACATTGACACACCATTGAAGCTATTTTGTGACAATAAAGCAGCTGTTTTTTTCTCTAAAAACAATAAGAGATCTTTGGCAAACAGGCTGATGGACATGAAGTATTTGAAGGTGAGGGATGAAGTTAAGAAAGGGACCATCAACATTCAGCATATAAGCACAACTCTTATGGTGGCCGATCCCATGACTAAAGCCCTACCATTGGGAGTATTCAAGAACCATGTTTTCAACATGGGTGTTAAAGAGACCTTTGAAGCAGCTAATGAGTGGGAGTAAGCACTCAATTGACTGTGATAGGTATGCTTATATGTATGGTTGTTCTTCAGAACCTTAGTAGTTTTATTCAATCTGCAGACAGCATCTAATATGCTATGATATTCTCATTCATATTTTATTCTGATAGCTTTTGTTCTTATGTTGTGAGCTGTTGTTTTGGTTAATGGCTCTTGATATCATGACTTTGATGACAACATTGTGCTTTAAGTTTTATGTACTTGTAATCATGGAGTGCAAAAGAACATACCAATTTGGTTTTTGTTTGCTTTGGTTCGACATTAAATTTTTAGTGACCCATTGTCAAGAAAAGTTGGTTGCAAATTTTGAAGGCTCAGTGATCACCATGAATCCTTATGAGTTGAGATTTCTCATTGACATTCAAGTGGGAGAATGTAAAGTTCTTGTGAATGACAATGAGTGTTAGTTAATATTACTTGAATAACAGTTAGCTTGGTTTTCAAGTTAACTTTGACGTAGATAGTATAGTTGGTCTCAACTTCGTAAGGGTTATGGAGTCTTATTTCATGCAGCTAACTTAAAGCAATTCTGATAAGGATTGAATGCAAAGATGTTTAATCATGATAGGACTCATTCATTATTAAGGCGATAAGGATACACAACTGTTAATACTCTGGTTGTGTAACCCTAGTGATATATATATATATATATATATAAAGAAATAGATGTTTGGGGGGGGGGGGGTGTAAAACCGTAAGATATAAAGAGAGTTTATGGGGTGCAAAATGGTCGGTTGCAATCAAAAGGAGTTATTAACATCACATTAATTTACTTCTTAAATTGCTTTAAGAAATTTCAGTTATAGACTTTGAAATGAAAAAATACGCGGTGCAAACTTTACCAGTTGATGCAGATCAAATCAAAACGTAATTCAAATTCAAACAAGAAATAAAAAAAAAACGGTTTGATTGCATAACTCCTTAAGCTAAAATCAATTGACTTTCAATATTGGTAATAAAGCAAAACGTTGTGTATATAATATTGGTAGTAAAAAAAAACATAAATATATTTAAATATTTAAATAAAAACATATTTGCTCCAACAAATCACATAATTTAGGCTCCTCTCTACCTATAAATACACACCATAATCCCAATGTCTTCCTCACATACTAATCTTTTCTAGCCATGGCAGCTTATCATTCTCTCGCCTTGGTTTCATTGTCAACAACAACATTGCTTTTTATTCTTTGTGCCTCTAGTTTCTCTTTGGTCTCAGCTCTCAATGGTGGCTTCAGTGTGGACCTCATTCACCGTGACTCACCAAAATCACCCTTCTACAACCCTTCACTAACCCCAGCTGAGCGTCTGCGCAACGCCTTTCGGCGTTCCATTAACCGAATCAATCACTTCAACCCAACAGCTTCACTCTCTCAGCAGGCTGGTCCTAACCAACCTGAGGCCACTATCATCAGCGATAATGGCGAGTACCTCTTGGAGTTATCTATCGGAACACCGCCCTTTCCAATCAAAGGAGTTGCTGACACAGGTAGTGATCTAATTTGGACCCAATGCAACCCTTGCGTAAGTTGTTACAAACAAAAAGATCCTCTTTTTGAACCCGAAAAATCCTCAACCTACAAAGCCCTTTCTTGCTCTTCAAGCCAATGTAACTCTCTAAATGGTACTTGCTCTAGTGAGAGTTCAAGTAACTGCCAGTACGAAGTCACCTATGGAGACCAATCATACAGCCATGGAGATTTTGCCAGAGAAACCCTAACCCTAGAATCCACCACTGGCAGAAATATAGCATTCCCCAAAACCCTAATTGGATGTGGGTTTGACAATAAATTTTCCGCTGGTAGAGGTAGCGCGTCCGGCATAGTAGGCCTTGGAGGTGGCTCAGAGTCCCTAATTACCCAATTGGGTTCTTCTATTGATGGAAAATTCTCCCATTGCTTGGTCCCATTGGGTTCCGAAACCACAAGCAAGTTAAATTTTGGTAGCAACGCTGTCGTTACAGGCACTGGAGTTGTGTCCACTCCTATAGTCCAGGGCCAAGATCCTAAAACCTTCTACTTCTTGACCTTGGAAGGTATTAGTGTTGGTAACACAAGAATTCCTTCTTCTTCCTCATCAGCTTTCTCCTCAGGTGAAGGTAACATTATTATCGATTCTGGCACCACATTGACCTTACTTCCACCATTGGTATACTCGGATTTGGAAGCAGAAGTTGATAAAGCCGTTGGTAGTTTGGAACGTGTGCAACTCCCCGGAGTTCCTTTGAATCGTTGCTACAAGATTAGTGAATCCAGTTCTGATGATTTCAATCCACCAACCATCACCGTGCATTTCAGCGGTGGTGATTTGAAGTTGCCTCCGACTAACACCTTTATTAGGGTCAGTGAGGAGGCTGTGTGCTTTGTTTTCAGTGCTTCTCCAAGTGTTTCAATCTTCGGGAACCTGTCACAGATGAACTTCTTGGTCGGATATGATACTAAGGAGGGGACTGTTTCCTTCAAGCCAACTGACTGCACCAAGCAGCAGTAATAATGTACTTTAGGCTTCTCATTGTTGTTGCTTTGTGATAAATAATTTTTTTTTATATTCTATTTTCCATTTTTAATTCTCTTTGTTAGCTCACCATTTTCATTTAAATTCAAAAGTTGAAGATTAGCTAACTGCAGTTTCACTAGAACTATTTTATTTTTCAGTTAATGATAGGGGTGTGCTATCCACACACCCCATTTTACTTCTCACACACTCCTTGATGATTTATGTCCGTTGATCTTCTTCAATTCATCCGATCCGACGGCCGAAAATTAAAAAGGTGTGTGAGAAGTAAAATGAGGTGTGTGGATATCACACCCCTAATGATAAAGATATATCTCTTGTTTTTTTATTTTTTATTTTTTTATTTTTTTATATTTGGTCTCAGTATTGAACTCAATCACCAAAATCTCCCTTCTACAACCTTGATCTCTAACTCGGTCACAACGGTTGACCAATGCTCTTCGTAGTTCCTTCCGTTGGTTTGAACCAAACGTTTCAACCCGACAGCCACAAGTACTCTCCGTAGTTCCTTTGGTTGTATTTCTTAGCTGCTTCTCGTGCTTGTGATGCCACAGATCCATCAATATAATGGCTATATTAAATTAGCTAAGTTGACCATGTTTTAGTACGAGAATCCAATAAAATTTAATACATAATGTCCTTTATTAAGTTTATATTTTTCTTTAACATTCTAATAACACTGCTATCGTTTTACTTAAAACATTTCGACAAAAAAAAAACCTTTTCAAAAGCGCAATTAATTTAGAACATATATATATATATATATATCAATTGAGCTGCCATTGAGACAGACCAACCAAGAAAATAGGTGGTTTGCTGGATCTTATCTTTTGTGCAAAGAAAGAAGGTTTGCTGGAATTTTGTGCCACCAAATAGAAAAGGACGACAACACGTACGTTTAAAACTCAAATGTGGTGTGTCTATTGTGTTTTAAGTTTGTTGCATTTATCTTGTTTTTGCACTAGATTTGTATTGATGACGTTTTGTAGAGGTATTACACTGTTTGTGGTAGCAGTATAAGGGTATACTATAATTTGCTTCATTGTGCAAATTTACTCTAGATCAATTTCTTGATCACTAAAACTTATGTACCTAATCTAATTATTTGTGAAATTCAATGAAATACCATCCCATAATTTCTGGTAGAAACAACTCAAACCGAGGAATTAGACGAAAGAGGAAACAAACTATAAATCCAAATAATAATTCCCACAAAGCATTAAATTTGATGCTACTTACTCATAAGAAAATATAGTCAAACCATTCCACTTTCTAGAAACAGTTTTGACTCTCACAGGTCCAACCATGATTTAATTAATAACCAAATGCTGCTAGATGTGCTCTGATAATTTTATTCTTTTGAGACTCATTTAGAAAATGATCCGTTATATGATATTCTGGTTCGCCACTAATTATATAAAATACCATTGCAGAGACTGTTTTGTCATATGTTCGAAGTGTTGTCTTCATCTTTCTCATGGAGCTATTCACTCACTTTTCACCATTGCATTTGCCATTATTTTCCTCCCATTTCTCTCGCTCACAGAAGATGATGACCATCACCACGGAATCGGCTTTAGCCTCGAACTGATCCACCGCGATTCGCCATCATCTCCGTCATACAATCCGGTGGGGTCTTATTGGCAACGCTTAAGCAACGCCTTGCAACGCTCGCATCACCGTGTGACCAATCATTTCGGCAGAAAAGGTTCAGGACTACGCGCTACTAGTCCAATAGGAAGCCCGTTTAATCTATGTTGCAGGAGAGTATTTGGTGAACATATCGATTGGGACACCGCCCAAAACTTTGATCGGCATTGTGGACACCGGCAGCCATCTTACGTGGACGCAATGCAAGCCGTGTAAGGACTGTTTCAAGCAAAAAATCCCCATCTTTGATCCCATTTCTTCTTCAACATATGTGCCCCCTTCTTGTTTGTCCAAACAATGCCATTTGCTAAGTGAAGGCACTTGCTCAAACGACAAGTTTTGCTATTACAATTAAACGTATGGGGACAATTCCTACACCTCTGGAAATCTGTCCGTGGACACTGTTACATTGGCTTCCAGAACTGCAGGCAAGGCCGCCGTATCAATCCCCAACACCATATTTGGATGTGGACACGACAACGGAGGAATCTTCAGCGGGACTGAGACAGGTATAGTCGGACTTGGAAGCGGAGCTGTGTCGCTTATATCCCAAATCGGAAATGTGGTTTGTAGGAAATCTTTCTCTTACTGCTTGGTCGAGTTACCAACTACAATTTCATTCAAACTTGCACTCTAAGCAAAGTAGTCAAAATGAAATCCCAAGCAAGATGTATTTTGGTGGTAAGGTTTCAGGCCGTGATGTGGTCTCAACTCCTTTCCTGTCGAATGGTTCGCAAACCTATTACTACCTTGAGCTACAAGGCATCAGCGTCTGAGACGACTATCTTAAGCTTCAAGTTTCCAGTCCTCAAAGTTTTAAGGGCAACATGATCATAGACTCCGGGACTACTATAACAACTTCGCCTACAAAGCTTTATCAAAGTTTCGAAACGGCAATTAGAAAGGCAATTCATCTGGAGGTGACGAAAGATCCAACCGGCATTCTACGGCTCTGTTACAAGACTAAACCGGAAATCGACGCTCCCATTGTTACAGTCCATTTCCGTGGTGCAGACATGAAGTTAAAATCCGTCAACACTTTCGTTAGGTTTAGGGAAGATGTTGTGTGTCTTGCATTTTCCCCGACCAACGATGTCGGGATCTATGGGAATGTGGCACAAATGAACTTCTTGGTAGGATTTGACCTCCAAGAAAGGACGTTGTCCTTCAAGGCAACCGATTGCGGTACCGGGTAAAAAATTGGCATGGTTTTGTTTTCCATATTTGTTTGCCATGGTACCTGATGCCAAAGAATAATAATAACAGTGATCATATATAATGGAATTTTTTTGTAGCATCGTTCTAATTTACAAGAGAATTGATGAAAATAAATAGTAAAGGAATTTGAAGATTCACAATTTTTGTTCTCAATGGATTTGTAAAACCGATCGATATTAGGAATTTTTCACAACCTGTCACGTCAAATTCCGAAAACAGCTGCCGATACCAACATTACAAAAGCCTGTAGATGGCTCCCCCGGCCTCTCCTCCCAAATTATTGCAGGGTGCCATTTTTGCAGCACACTGTGATGACTGATGACTGATGAGGGCACATTCGTACTGGCTTCGTACTGGCTTCATCAGGCCAGTCACACCTTATTTTTCAGATGTGCAATTTTTCTTTTGCTTTTGGTATTCCTCAAAATCATCACTCAGTGTAATTAGTCTCTGTTTTTTTGAGATGGCTCGTTAGTCATCCAAAAGAGCGAGATGAGCTTGGAGTTCACAAATTATAACCTTACAGCACTGGGCAGTGAGTCCAGCCTCTCCAGTCTTCCCTGCAACAGAGGTTCTCGAATATGCTAGAGTGGTCATCTAACCTGCTTCAACTCTCTGATCTCACCGGACTGAATCTGGCTCCATTCCTGGAATCTGTGGGAATGCCATTCATACTGTTTATGACACAAAAGGAGAGCATAAAAAAGAAACTGAAATTGCAGAAAGCGAATATTGTTCTAGGAAAATCATGTAAACCCTGCAACCAATTTATTTGAACCCATGTCATCTCATTCTACAGTCTACACCCAACTTAAACCATAAATGTGAATCATCTTTTCTGTCCTATTGTACAATTACCGTTAAAGACAGGATTTTATTAAAACTAAAACCAAATTTATGTATAAACCCACATCCAAAAATCAAACCCTCCACTTTGTGCCTCCTTTCCTGGAGAGCAATGGGCTCGTCAAACCCTTGAAAAAGTTTCTTTCAGAAGCACAAATAGAGAATGGTGGATTGAAGAACTCTTTACTGGATTTAGAAGAAATGTACAGCAAGTATTTTGAAATGTGTAGTGCAGGTAAAAATGTCCACCGTGAAGAAAGTATTTAATGCCTTATAATAGCTGTAATGACTGACAAGTATTACAAGGAGGCAAAGAATTCCAAGAAAGCTTCTAGTGCAATTGAAGAAATTTTAAAGACAACAGAATTAAACATTTAGTTACTTGTTTCTTCATCACAAAATCTTGTGATTGAAATTCTTGCCAATGAGAATAGAGTTGTCCTAGACAACCAAAAAAAGGGTACGCCCTGAAATAAGGACTAGACCCCGTGAGCTAGTATGACCTTTGCCATTCATAGCTAACAGTCGCTCCTCAATCTCCACATATTTTTAAATGGGGTGTAAAGATAAATTTACATATTGGATTCGGTTTGTAAAGGTAGTTTAAGTAGTAAATTTGGGTTTAAATAAACAGTTCATATCAAAATGCCTGTATATGAGTAAAGCAAATGTAATTCTGGGTACATGCAAGAGTCACATATACTACCTGCTGAAGTTCGAAAATTCACTATAGACACTAAAAGATAGGATGAAGAATATAACATGCTACAGATGTAAATGCATGACTTTCCGCCCTTTTCATTTCCACGAAATCTAAAGATTGAAGGCTATATTTTGCTTCCAACTACACTTGATTATAAGCAATTAACTCTATTACGGGCCAAGTTGGCACCTTTCATAAAGCAATTGCAGCTGTAGCAGATAAGGGGACACTTTTGCTCTACTTTTTCTTTCTTTTATGGTGATGGGAAATTTTCCCTCCACTTCAAACTTTTCACCACCGGGAAGTGAAAGACGACTGGACCAAGCCTAATTGATGATGACAAATCAAATTTTCGAACTTCAGAGACCAACGGTATTTATGCTTTGCAAAGTAAAAAGCACAAAATGCTCGCAATTTTTAACTAAATAAGTGAGAACAGAAAGCTCCAACAATAGCTAATGTAAATACAGCAGAAGAAGAAAAGGAACTTACAATATGTCTTCTAGCCATCACTGTACGTACTACTGAAACATGGACTTACATTTGAAGGAAGAAGGTTTCTTCATCTCCTCAAGTAAATATCTACAAGGAAACGAATAGAATTAATCTTCTTTATAATAGCATGAAAAACATGTGATTAAGTTCTTCGAAAGAAGTATGTTGATATTAATTATCCAAATCTGCCACTGATACAAAGTAATTTTCTTTTCCTGTCCATTAATTAATTAATAAAAACATACTTAAAAACTGTCTGAACAAACTCTAAAAATGCAAAATTGAGAAGTAAAAAAAGAAAAAAAAAAAAAAACATAGTTATGAATCAGTCAGACTCTATACTCAATGAGGTTAAAGCAGGAGAGTAGGATACATAATTAATCGATAGGTACTTCAAATCATAGTGACTAGAATTGCTTGGTATTTCAATTTTGATTATTTCATATCGATTTACGACAGAGTAATATATGATGATGACTCACAGGATATATTCACTATAAATCCCATCCAAAAGTGAAATCCTCTCATAAATAAATTCCCTCATGTAATTGCAGCTGAAGTACTAAACGTAGAAAAGCATAAAAATCCTATAATGGCTATTTAAAAGATGATGAAAACAAATATAAGATGAGTAAGCATCATCTCACTACATTCAATATGGTGTATGACAGAATAGAGCTGTATATCCATTATTTAAGAAATCGTAATCTCACTTCATAATAACAAAATACAAGACAAGGTATGTAAAGTAATGAATTCAAGTCCCTTTATGTAAAATATAAACATAAGATCATTAGGTCACAACATTTTAGAGGTAGCTAATTAAAATGAAGAGCGCAACGAGATTTAAGAGAATATCCAACCTTCAGCTGCAAGAGCAAACTAGAATTCATCATCTGGCACAAATCCCCTTTGAAGCATCTCATCATGGAACCGAAATGCCTCCTTCAAATTGTCCTGGGTCACATGTCCATTTATCAATGACGTATAAGTGGATCTATCAGGTTTTACACCTCTCTCAATCATCTTCCGCAATACTAGCTCGGCTTCGTGCATTCTACCTTGCCTACAGAACCCATTTAGAATTATATTGTATGTAAACTGATCCGACAGTATCCCTTGCTTTTCCATCTCCTGAACTGAGGAAAATGCTTTGTTCAGATTCTCTTCTTTTACATATCCGTTAATCAAAGTGTTGTAAGTAATACTGTCAGGAACAACTCCTTTTGAAATCATTTTGCCTAAGAACTCATCTGCCTTTGTTGTGTCACCAGAGCGGCAATAACCTTTAATGACAGTGTTACAAGTAACTAGAGTGGGTTTGATGCCTTCTTCAATCATCTGGTCCCACAACCTAAACGCCTCATGCACGTTCCCCAAGCTACAAAATCCATTGATTAGGATGCCATATGAAATGTGATTGGGTAATATCCTTCTTGAAACCATGTCACCCCATAACTCCTTAGCTTTATCCATTTCACCTAGTTTGCAGAAGCCATCAAACAATGTGTTGTATGTGACAATATCAGGCTTAATATTTCCATTAGTCATTGCATCAAACAGATTGAGAGATTTAGTCATATTCCCGTGCTTGCAATAGCCATGAATGAGCGTTGTGAAAGTATAAAAATCAGGAATGACACCCCTTTCCAACATTTCATTGAAAAGCTCATCTGCATCAGAAAGCATTTTCTCTCGACACAGTCCATTTAAAATTGTATTGAACGTTACCACATCAATAGTGCAACCTTGCTCAAGCATTTCATCACGCAGCTTCAAAGCCTCTAACATCATTCCCTTTCTACAATATCCATCTATAAGAATGGTGTAGATCACATTATCTGGAACCAAGCCTGCCCTTTTCATATCTCGAAAATATAGTAACGCACGATCAATATTTTTGTTCCTCGAAAAAACCCCAATAAGTGAACTGAAACTAACTATATCAGGAACAACACCTCTCAGTGACATTTCATGGAAAATTTCCTCAGCCTCTAAAATATCACCTTTTCTACAGCTCTCAAAAAGCATTGTATTATAAGTAGTAGTATCAGGATTCAATCCACCTTGCAACATTTCATCCAACAGTTCCTTTGCTCTTGCATAATTTCCTACTTTACATAAACCATTCATGATAGCATTGTACGTGAAAAGCTCAGGTTTCAACCCCTTAGAAGACATAGAGTTCTTTAACTGAAAAGCTTCTTCTAGAAGCCCTTCGCGACAATATGCATTGATTAGTGTATTATATGTCACAATATCTGAAAACACCCCCTTCTCTTCCATATCCGATAAGAAGAATTTAACGCTCTCAATTTTGCGAGCTTTGCATAAGGCATTAACCATTATATTTAGTGTATAAACGTTTAACTGAATCCCACTGCTAACAACTTCCCCGTAGACCACCCATGCCAAATCAAACCACCCGACCTTCACAAGCCCACCAAGAAGACTATTGCAAGCATTTATCGAAACACAAAATCCCTTTCTTCTAAACACCTGAAACGCCTCAAATCCTTCTCTCAACTTCTTAGCCTGCACATACGTTCTAACAAACAGATCAAAGATCAAAGAACTTGAGCCGCAACTGCTATAAGTTGAAACCAAAGAGTCTGCCACTCCAACACGCGAAATGCCACTCTTTCTAACCATTCTAAGAATCAGAGGTTGTGCATCCGACACCCTTCGACCACGCACCAACATGTGAATCATTGCACTCAGAGATTCTGACGAATGTTTAAAATTATGGCTATTTAACAGAATCAAATCAACAAACTTCAGACCCAGTTGCAAATTTTCACGGCAGCGAGAAAGAACTTCAACAATAAGAAATGGGTTTAACCGAAAACTGCGCAAGGACGTGAGGGTACCTTGCTTCAAACCTAATAAAATCTTTTCCACCAAAAGAGAATCTGATAGAGAAGCTGACGAAAACGGTTCTTGGCTTGTACTACTACAGAGTTCTTGGGATTGCATACTTTTAAGACCAAGTTCCAGGTCATTTGGTGGACAATAAGCAAAAGAATGAGGTCTATGAGAGTGAAAGAGTGAGTACTTGGTTGGTTTTGTGAAGGTTGTGAGGGTTCTGGGAGCTACATTTCTCAAAATTAGCCGTTGGGTTTGCATATTTGAAACTATAGTTATAGCCATTGAGGAATGAACTTAGAATTCAAAAGGATGAGGGATGCTTGGGGGTTGAAAGGGCCTGTCTACCGATTAAAAGTTCATTCCAGTTTGACGGGGTTAGGTCCCAAACCAAGAACCAGTGCCAAACAGTTTGTAGGCCATAAAGATGAACCGGAAACTGAAAACTTGGACCTTAAATAGACTGACCGTATACCGAAACTTTTAAGTATGGTCTGGTCTCATTGAATTATATGCTCATTTCTAGCAGGTTGATCCTGAAAAAAGCAAAAAGCAGTCATCAATATCGAAACAAAACAAGAGAACGAAAATACTTTTTCGCGATATAACAAAGGAAAAATGAGAATAGCAGTTATAATGAATATCGAAACTACATAATCTAAAGGTAATAGAAAACACTTCAACAGGCATTGGATTGGAACGAGAATCTCCGAATATGGGCAGAAAGAATTCGAACAGATGATTAATTCATAACAAAAATGATAATCCAGATTAAAAAAAAGTCTAAGGGTACAATTATTTAATCAAAATTTCCATGCTTGTTCCTAAAATTTTAAGATATTTCAGCAAAATTTACAGTAATGGCACATGGTCAGTTGCAAGATATTCCGGCAAAATCTTGTTCCTAAAATTTTAAGAATCACGGAAAGTAGAAGAAAAATAACCATGAAATCTGAAGATTGCCTCGGTGTTCGGACGGACCAAGTCCAACAGCGGCGATAGGAACTGAGAGCAGCGAACGATGGGCTATCAAGGAGTGGATGACGACTTCAAGAGTTCGAGCTTCGATAGAAACCTTCAGTGGAAGAAGAAAAGCATGAGTTCAGATGGGTGGTCGAGAGGAATGGGAGGATTCTGGTGGCTGTGAATGGCGGGTTCCGGTGGTTATGACGTTGAAAGAGAGGAGGGAGAGAGTTCCAGAGAGAGAGGTCGACAGATGGAGAGTGCAGAGGGGTTTTTACTTAAAACGACACAGGGTAGGCGTAGGCTTAGGCACCAAGTACTACGGTTTAACTTTTCCTTTTTAATTGTAAGAAGTGTTATAATCGATTTTCGTCAAAGGTAAATTTGAACTGCAATATAAGCTCGTTATATCTCTATTAGTTTAGATAATATCGTTTATTTAAAATAAAATAAAAAAACATGTGGGTATGTCTTCAAGATCATCTTCCACGCTACATCTTCGAAATTGATGGCAATGTACTTTGTTCGAAATTTGTAAAACACAAAACCAGCTCCGTAATCCGTTTGCTACTTGATTTGAGGATTGATGACCCACTTTCTTCTTCCAAATCGATGACATTCATTCCTCCAAAGCGACTTTGAAATTTTGGGATTGTTGATTTGACTTGATCAACGGCAAGAACCCGTCTAAGTAAAGTTACTATTTGTGTTCAATTTGTCAAATTAATTTAGTGTTCATAGTTAATTATGTATGCGTGTTGATGTAATTTGTGAAAGTATAGGGTTAATGTAGGTTTATGAATACTTGTTGACATTGTTCAATTGGGTTGAGTTGGAGTTGTATTGTTGACTTGGGTTGAGTTGTGCTGATTAAATCTTGTTGGAATTTATGAATGGACTACAATTTTCTTTTTCATGAAGCTTCGTTTAGGGTTGATGTATGTTTATGATACTTGGATGGCTAAGATTTTACCGTGATGGATTCCGTTATTTCCAGATTTCCAACAACTCGGCAGAACTATATTGGAAATCAAACAAAATACAATATAAGAATGCTAACAACCTTCTCATTTGAATCTTCTTCTTCTACCTTCCAATTTTTTTTATCTAAATTACAACGTTGCTTGATAATCGAAACTGTCTGTTCTCTAAGCCAACCTCTAAAGATCAACCTTGCCAAAAGCCCTTTCATGCAAGGAGACTTTTCATTTTGGCAACCGAGGTCATGCGTTTGATTCTTGCTACCTCGATATCACTTGCATTAAGACGAATGCATCTTTTATTCAAATTTTCCTACGTACGGTCAATAGAATCCATTGAGAATATCATCCTTAAACATAACATCACATGTTGTACAGTCATAAACCTTGTAAAACCTACCATTTTCTATTCCGAATTGGTCACACTTCCCTACATAAAGTTCTGAACAAAGCTACCAACACCAACATTACAAAAAGTTTGCTAGACAGATGGTCTCGGACACCAATATACATTTTGTTTTCACATTAAGGGACATGAAACTTTTAGTTCGTCCAATACGCTACAAGGGTGTCAACTCATCTCCAAACAGGGCAGCAAAATGAGCCTACCACGCTATGCATGGGCATGAGAACGAGAAGCATGTTCAGTTTCGCAGGACTGGTAAAGCTCTAATTCCCTTACTTAGTGAGCATGTTTAACTAGAGAAACTAGCATCCATGAACAGAAATTAAGGCGAACCAGACACCCCAGGGAAGAGTTCTGATATCTTATTGAAAACATCCATAACCTGAGACAACAGAACACAGCAAAATGTCATATTATATTAAATACGTAGTATACTCATAACAGCAATCAATGCCACATCCCAACCTGGTAAAACCACATAATGCCCTTTAAAGTACATTGTGTATCCCAAAACATGATCAATCAAACTTAAGTAAACTTGAGGCATGCTGGGAGAAAACCATTTCCAACGATCCTCAACAAAAACAGATAACCAATAATATCGCTTGATCCAAGTCAAAATATCCCATTGTAATATTAAGTAATTGTACTGTTCCGCGTCAGCTGTTAGATCACTGTATGCATACTTTGGCAGGTTTTGCTAATGTTTTATACGACTTACTGAAATATTGCCTATTGAATTTGGATCTCACAAATTAACCAACAGTATGTGCTCGTATGATGTCTCTTGGAAGGAATTTATTCATCTAAATAAAGGTCTTAATAAAGTACTTCTACGAGTTATCCAAAAGCTCTGAATTACATTCCATTAGAAAGATATTATCCAGTTAAAGTTATGAGAAGGAAGCAAGAATACAAATCAGAACTTTACAAGCCGTAGCCATCATCTCCAATACAAACTCAATAATAATCATATAGTGAGTTACCGATAGGATAAATTATATGTTAAAAAGGTAATAAATAAACACAACTAGAAACCACATAATTAGGCAAATCAGAAATCATTATTGAAAGTAAAATAGTTCTAACATACCTCCTTATCGTTTTGATATTTTGCAATGCTCAGTGGGTTCTGTGAACACTGCAAAAGAAACATAATAATTTAAGAGAATTGGTATGTACCATATAAGAGTGATGCTATTACCTCCCATCATTCCCAGTTGCCCACCCACCAGGTTTCTCCACCTCTACCAACTTTAAAAGTATTAATTTACTCTTCCCACCCTTATTATTCCCATATAGTCTATTTCTTAACTTTGACCATGATACCAGTTAGGACTCCACCCCATAGTGGGAGGCCAGTCGGACTGACCTTCCTCAGAGTGAGGCTACCAGCGGCCAGTAACACTATAATTCTATTATCTTTTATCTTCATATTTTGCAAAAAAAAGTAGTGTTGTTAAACATTGTTCTTGAACATAGTTTTATAAAAGAACAAAGTACGTGGGTAAACAGAAACGTGGGGTGAAAAGAGACATTCTAAATTAAAAATACATACATCCATGATTGCTGCTTGAACTCTTGGGTTTTGAAATGCCATAGCAACTTCAGGATTGGCCATTATTTTTGAAATTACTTCCTCAGGTGAAAGCCCAATTTGGTCTGCAAAATATAAACAGAGAAGAATTAAGGAAAATACATGCCGCATAAATTTATCTGTTCTCCTTGAGCTTTTATACCTAGACTCACCGCTCCATGGGAGAAAAATAAGTCTACTTTGATGTTTTTTTTAGCCAGATACTTTCTTGTTAAATGAGAAGGAAATTGTTTTGAAGCCAATGAGGGCAGGAAAATTTTATAAATATCAACTTATCAAGGAAAGAATAGTGTTGAAAGTGAAGAACAGCTTGAAAAACGAACAAATAAGTTTTACATCAGTCGAAAGCCAAATAAAGCATACACAATTGACAACTGAGAACGTTTCAAAAGGAAAAATAAAAGAATAATAATGGAACAAACAATAAAAGATCAAGAATGATGTAAATTACTCAATCTTAAACTTGGTCTATACTAAAATTATCCAATCCACCTAGTCACTAGCACATCATTCTGCCATGATGGAACTGATCTAACTTCCAGATTTATGGAATTATCAAATTTAATCAGGAAAATGAAGTAGCCGGAAGATAAAAATTGTAAATGAATGCCATTCGCTAAAGCGTTTGAAATTTAATCAGAATAGACTGAAATCCAACAAGACTTGGTACTTCACACTTACCAAACTGCTGCTTAACCTCAGGACTGCTAAGATCAAAATTTTTCAATGAATCCATCATACGATTGTCCCATTCACTGCTTCCGCCCATATTATTTCTGAAACAAACATCAAGCATAAAAAAGATAAGAGAAATTAAATTGGATAAAGATTAGAATATCTTGTTTAGCATAAGCATCACACTGCTGCAGCCTTCTCTGGTAACAAAATGTTTTTCGTAAAGTTTAGTGGACACTGGTTCTCAAGTATTAATTCCACAGACACAAGGGTTCAAAATTCTGATGAACAATACATCCTTTAACATGACTGACTAACAAGCATGGTCGTTCAGATATACATGCAATTGAGATCACTGACTAAATCAGGTTTCTTTTATATTGAAGCAATGGTATGTCAACTATGGTCAAAGTTTGTTACAGGAATGCCGACTTGATACGGTTTCAGCATCATGAGAACTTAAAGTATTACAGGATGTCAGAACAGGCAATGCACATGCAACTTATGGCATAAATTGTCTTCGGGCAAGTTAGTACAGCTGTAGCAGATGGGAGAATGATTTTGTTCCATAAATTTTGTCCTCTGTTAAAGAAAACATTAATCCACCTTTAACAAAATGCCGGGATTGAGAAAATGAGAAGAAAATCAAAATTTGGGTCAAACTTCAGAGACTAAAAATATTGTTTTGCCACATCAATTTATGAAGCAAAAATGCTCAGAATCTAAGTACAAACACGAGAATAAAAAGCTACCAGCAATATCAAATGTAGATAGAGCCAAGAAAAAGAAGAACTTACAGCATGTCCTCTAGCTGTTTGCGATACTCTGGATTTTGTAGCATCCCTATCAAATGATGACCATCATAATAAGACTAATGATCAAAAGCTACAGATTAAGAGACACAAAATGAATTCTAGGCCAACAAAAAAGAAATGGAATGGAGAAAACAACCCTCCACCATGAAAGAACACATGGTCACAACAAAAAAGAGTTTTAAAAATAAAAATAAGGAAAAGGTTCTACGTAATATGAAAAAAGACCAGATATTATGCAGTAAGATCAGCTATGACACAGGACAACATAGACATTGCTTCAAACAGGCAGATGGCCGCAATTAGTCTTATCAGGTGTGAACAAATAATTATCAAATTGAAAACATTATTTATGGTTATAAGCCATATCAAGGCTATAACTGACAACCCAGGATCTTAAGGAAAAGCCGTGTTACTGAAAGATGGACTTACATTTGAAAGTGGTAGGATTCCTCATCTCCTCTGGTAAATAGCTACAAGGGTATAAATAAAATTAATTTTCATTCCAATAGCAAGAAAAACATGTTATAGTTCCTCTAGAGGAGTAAGTTGATGTTAAGTCACATTCATGAGACAGAATAAAATTAAAAAATGTTAAACAAAGAGTACGACAACTGGAAGCTTATTACAACATATGATATACACTTAGAAGGAAACTCTGAGATCAGCTTTTATAATCACATAAACATTCCAAGAAATGAATGAAAGGAATGAACAAGATATTTAATAATGGAACTAAAAGGTGAGGGATTAGCCAAAGGATAACCATCTTCCTATAAAATGTCAAAATTTTGACTGAAAATTGGTATTCCTGAACAACAGACCAAACACTTTCAGCTTGAAATAGTCAATAAGTTATCCTCATCCAAATGACGAGGTTACCTTTAACAAGCTTGAAAAATTATCCTTGTCCAAATGAATTTAATACCCCAAAAGTAAACAGTTCAAGCTGGATTTAAATTGCATACGCAGGGAATTTGATAAAATCTTATTCCAACCCAATCAAAATACCATTGACTCTCCAGAAATTCACAAAGGTATGCAAGTGATACGTAGCTAATTAACTAGATTCAACCATGATAAGACACTACAACAAGATCATTTTTCACAAGTAGTAAGCACATAAGATAAGAAGGTATATTACGGATAAACCATCTTCTGCACTGTCGGATCTTCCAACATTTTCTCCAAGGCTTCCACTGATATTGCAGGATTTTCTTTTCCTATCCATTAATAAATAAAAACATACTTAAACTGTCTGATTAGATTCCAAAAATGAAAATCATAGCCACTTAAAGACATACTGATTAGGATTACACAGTAATGCAATCAGGATTATTTCATATCCATTTACGGCATAGTCGTGTAATCCTCTCAGCTGGCATACACTATTTAAGTAAGCACTACCTTAACAGACCTATGCGACTATTTAATTCAAATGGCACATTTTCAAGCAGTAGTTTCGGAGAGATGATTTATTAGCAATTTATTTTTCAATTTATCCATATAAAACAAGTTTTGGTGTCAACATTAGTCAATCAAATGTATAAAGGTAGTGCCTCATTCTAGGTCTTTTCTTTTTTAAGGGGCTGCCCTAATTTCCCAGGGTTGGGCCTTGCTTTTAGGGCAGGCCAGCCCAATCCTTGATCAGATCCATGCACGAGTCTTTACACAACTAGAACTCTAGAACCATTATCCCAAGTGGAGCAGGCGAAATTTAGCATAAGCAGTTCAAAAGTCTTTAGATAAAGATGGCCTTTATCACAACTAAGCTACCAAAAATATTTGATATCAAATCTAAAGCAAAGCATTCGCTGGAATCCTGAGAGACTGCAAAAGTCTCACATGACTCTTTACATACCAGTAGATTGGGAACCGGTGAAAGAACCTGCCCCCTGCTTAAAAGCAGCTCCATTTTGAGAAACCTTCATGGAGTTTGGAAATAGTTAAATTTGAAGATTTACTAAAAACACAACATCTTGAGGAACACTGACAGTAGATACTCACTTCCACATCATTCTGGGTACCCTTAGATGAACTTGCTTCAGAAACATCTTTTAAGCTACTTTCGAAAGGACTCTTTTGCTCTGTTTCTTCTGGAGTGACATCTACAAAAGCTGTCAGTAGAACATAAATTTAGAATCTCTAACAGGAAACCTTCATAAGAAAACATTTCAATGTCCAAATAAGAGTATCTTGTAAAAAAATCAGACGAAGAATTGATGGCCTTCATTTGTTATAGAAATTTTCAATCCATTCACTACAGTAAACGATTAAGGTATTGACAATAATCCTACGTGTCAATATAAGACAGGTCATATGACCAGCCCCCACAGTTGTATGCAGGTAACTGCCTCTGACAGATCTAAGGCTTCCGTTGCAATTCAAGCCCACAAGATCATTGTGAAAAAGATTTTGTGAGTTCAACATCACGGCAATCACATATTTAGCCTTGATAGTTTGTCAATCATACTTTTTGACATCAAACCACCCATAAACAGCAATCTGCCTTTAAATCAGATCAGCTCCGTTAGAATCAAATGGCCTCTATTTATTACTACTAGCTGTGTGACAGAACCATCATAGCATGGATTCATATAAACTAAAAATAACACAACTACTAACATATTACAATGATAAGCCTTGCACGCCTTAGATTAGTAGAAGAAATATAACTATTCATCTAAGTTATCTATGTATCTTTTTTTATATATAAATTAATATATTTATATATATATATACATACATACATACATACATACATACATATATATGTAGTCCTCTTATTATAATGATCGCTTGTGAGGAGAATATATAGATTGAATTCCTTTATTAATAGGGATCGGACTCAATAGGAATCCCTTGTGAGGAGAATCAAAAGGGGATCCCACTGGTCCACCATGCAATGCAGTTCAGTGATCCAAACGTCCACTACCAGAGCCCCAACAATGAAAATTGTGCCTTTAACAGATGGACCAAGTGTTGTGCTGCCCATACCATTAGCAACTTACCTTTCTTTCCAAATTTGACTACTTTGTTTTTTTGGTCAAATGATAGATTTAGTTAGATTAGATGTTAGATTAGGACCCGACGGGATTCTAACTCACGCCGTAATGCAAGGGCACAACAACCTTTCCACCACTGTGGTAAAGGGCCACTTGCATTTGTGACTACTTTGTTGAACTATTGAAGAAATCTCCCAGACATATATCTTTATAAGTATGATAATTCCTGAGGAATGATTAAATGTATTGCCCAAAACAAAAGATTTCAACGCTCCTAACAAGATGTCTAACAAAAATCAGTATATGACATGATACCTCAGATATAGATAGCCTACACCGATCTTCACTCGTTCTTGCAGCCATCAATAAATGATACTTTAGAATGCCCACATCTATTTAGAATTTTTTTATAAAGTCCCAGCCACTATAGAAGTGAATTCCCTGTTTTACTTTCATGGCTATTTGAGCAACTTAAATTTACTATAACCAATATATTGGAACATTGAAAAGGAAATTTAGATCATGTATTAGGATCCCAAGATAAAGTTAAAGAAAAAGAAGCAATGGAAAAACAAGATACATACATTGAAGGCCATAAGGATTATTAATAACATAAAATATTCTAGGTCAGAGACAATTTTCTTTGTAGATTAAATATAAATTTCAGATTGAGAAAATTGAACCATAAAAATTCTCTGTGCAATATAAATGAGAGTATGGTATGGGCTTACCAAATCTGTTTGACTTTTTATTTAGTTCTGAGTCACTTTTGACATCAGTGGCGGGGGTGGCTGGTGTGGTCGGCGTGGTAGGTGTGGCTTGTGCTGCTGGTGCGGAGGATGGTGCTGCTGGTGCGGATGGTGCTGCATCTACTCTGGTTGCAGATACATCTACTGTCGAATGTTGGGAAGTAGGTGGAAAAGGTGAGCCAAAAGGCCCTGATCCTGGAGCCGATGGAAACGGAAAAGGTGACCCCGGAGAAAATCCAGCATTGTTGAACTGGCTATCTTGTGGATTCATTTGACCCATCAAAGTCTTAAAAGCTTGTTGCATAGCATAATTCTGAAAGAATATTGAAGACAAGTTTAAATTAAAACAAAACTCACATATCAAAAGAGTGTGTAAGGCTAGATTTTGTGTCAAACAATAAACAAACACTTATCCTTTTTAACATATGTACTCGCATACACATTTGAGGATGGTAATTTGAAAAAAGTTCTTTCACAAATATTAAACATGTTAAGAGCGCTCAACTCAAATATTGTCTTTTTATACACACCCTGCGATATTAAAATCCAGTAATTGAAAAAGAAAAAAAAAATAAGAACCATAAATTGTAGAATGAAAAGACGCACCTTTAATCTTGTAGCTACCTGTCATTAAATATAACTTGTCAAACACACAGAAAAGGTGAAATGGTCTAATAAAAGTTCATTTTATCAAGCAAAAAGCATGCAATAATCCATGTTCTCACCCATGAAAATAGTGCTGAAAGCCCAACACCAACTCCAATCCAAAACAGAGGCGACCCTCTAGAACATAAAAGGTCAAAAAGGTGTAAGATGAAATGGTCATGAGCGTTTGGGCACAAGGACGAAAGAAGAAGCAGCCCAAAAAGCTCATAAAATACATGATTAGTTATAAAATAAATTAATAACAGAGAAAGTGAAGAAAACAAATCCTTACACATAGGAGGGTGGGGGAGGTACTGAGATTTGTGGGTTGACACCAACTGAAGATGTTTCTTGGGTACTCGAAGAAGAAATGCTCGCAAATCGTTCCACTTCTAACTTTGCTGCAACGGTATCATAAAAATAACCCGTGTCAGTACAACTAAATTGAAAACTTGCACAACCGAGAGATCATAGGAAATATGGCATCATAGAATCAGTAAGATACATTAGCACTTTAGAAGAAAAATAAAACAACATCCTTAAAAGCTAGCTTCTTTGTTTTTCCCACCCTCAAGAGCTATCATTATAGTCTTATAGATACACAATGTAGGGTAAGAATAGTAGTGTTCCAGCCACTTTCAAACTTAGAAATCCAACTCATACAACACCAATGAACATATTTCCTGTCCCGGATGCATCATTTCAGACTCACAATTCAACATAGAACCAAAACAGGTAAACAAATTTCTAAAAATTTCTTACTCGAGTCAGTCAACAGTAAATGGAATCAGTAAAATTAGAACCTGGGAGGCGAGGGGTAGGGAAGCGATCAGTGGCTCTGGAATTTTGGTGCTTTTTGGAGTTTCTGAGATTGGCGGAGCATCGAAAGAGAGGGAATCGATTGAATGAGGGAGCGAGAATTCTTGGTTGGTTTGGATGGAGGAGCGGCGGCGAGCGAGGAAGCGAGTGAGGAAGAGACAGAGACGTCATGATTTGCTACGAAACAATCAAGGAAAAGGGCACTGCAACCAGTATAAAGCATAAAACCCAAAGCTTTGGTACGGTTTTCTTGTGTAACTGGAGAAGAAGAAGAACCCGAGCCCAAGTGTCTATCTCTTCCTTTTTTTTCAATTTAAAAAAAAAAAAAAAAAAACAAGTGACAATATTTATCTACTTAAATAACGGTTTTTTTATTTTTTATTTTTTTATGAAAAAAAATTAGCATCTAGTCTCTAGTTTCTAATATTCATTTATTAAGACCTTACTAATTTTTAAATTTTGATCAAATCCTTACTATTAATATATTAATGAATTACATGTAAGTTACATAATTTTTATAATAAAAATTAGTAACTGATTTAGAGTTTTAATACTTACACACCTTATTATACTCCTAATTAATTTTCAATTCAAACATTTTCAAAAACTGAAAAATAAAATTAGAATAAATTTGTACCTATTAAATTTTTCTAAAAAAAATTCAAATTTTTAATCTTATATGTACTCATTCTTAAATATATCAATTTGTTATATGAAAAATGTAACCTTTTTTAATATAAAATGTACCCATTTTTTTTTATATAAAATTCATTCAATCTTTTCTCATATCCATTTTTAAAACTTATATGGATACATTATATTTCGTTGAATTGAGAATGTATCCATGTCTAGTTTAATATGTTATTAAGTCTAATATCTTCTTTTTTGTGTCTTTGAATAACGTACTCATGTTTTGGTACAATAATTTTTTGGTTAATTTTTATGAACGTACTCGTGTATACACACACACACAATTTATTAAAGAGTATAATTCATGTTTAATATTTTTAATCTCATAAATTATAGGTTTAATTTAAAATTTCATTAATATAAATAACTACAAATTTCATTTTTAATATAAAAATATAATAACCTGCATATAAATACATTATTACATTAATATCAGGGGCTTTGATAAAAAACTAAAAATTACAAAGGTTTCAATCAAAGAACATTGGTAGTTAGGGACTGCATCCAAAGTGTCCCTTTTTTTTTTTTA